CTGGGAATTGAACTCAGGACCTTGCACTTGCCAGGCAGGTGCTTGTACCACTGAGCTATATTCCTGGCCCGATAGTACTTTTCAAAAAAGTTCAAAAAAAAATCTTTACTTTATACACATGCATCACTTACACTGACAGCACATGTCTTTGCTTTCCTTATCTTTTTTAGGACGTACTTGACATCTCAGTAGTCTTAGTGTTTTGTCAGGAAGTTCTTATTATTCAGTGTGTAGTTAACAGGAATATAAAATTATCAATAAATTGTTAAATTTTTAATATATACTATGTAAATGTTTAGAATAGACATTAACATTTTCACATCAGCTGTGTACTTTCTTACAAAGCCTAAAAGATAACAAAAATAAAAAAACTATGTGTACTACAATGTAAACACAAAAGTCAACTGCAGAAATAAGCTTTGCTTCAACTGTTACACCCAAGGCAGTCTGCACACATGGCAACTGCATGTTCCATAGACAAGTGTTGCTTATACTGGTAGTACATATGTTTTGTTTTCCTGTACTTTCTTGTAGGGCACAGTCGATATCTTTTTTTATTTTCCTCTTGTTGTAGTCGGTCTTTGTGATGTGGTGCCTGCCTGTTTACCTGTCAGCTCATCAGTGTGCTCCATAAATTTTTTGTGTAGTTCCCTGAGCAGAAACATTTTATTTTTCTTCTGCTGTAAATGATCTCTTATGAGCTCCAGTCTCAGTCCTCTAAGAAAATTTCTTCATGATGTTTTGCACTTGATGCTCTCTTTGTAAACCATCAAACTATTTATGCCACACGTTTAGGATTGAGTAAAATACAACCATTGGCTAGCGCTTTGTGTTTCAAGTGACATCATAGTTGCTGCATAATTCATCAACAACATCAGTTCCATATTCAGTTTTGTTAATTGAAAGTTTCCATCTCAGGCTTCCATTTTGTCGAGGTTTCCCTATCCATCATGGTGAAATGTTGACATCAACAGTACCAGTTTTCTTTTCTTTGCCATATACAGGGCCAGTGTTGTATTTTTCTGAAACCTAAAGACTGTACTATACAATTCTTTGTTTTGAAATTGCAGTGTTTCATTTGGAAATTCTGCTTTGTTCTTGTGCACAGTTCCTGCACTGGTCAACTTGTGCTCTGTTAGCAAATGTAACATCACTTAGAAACTGGTGAGCCAATGGTTGAATGTCACATTCCTATTAGTTTGGGAGATGGGAGCAATAAGTCTGCTCACAGCATCATTCAGTTTATTATTATATGAATAAGGACCGTCAGGCTGAGTTCCAGAATAATAGTTTAAGTTTAAAGAATAGTAAGTCTTCGGATCTACAAGGGCATATATTTTTATGCCGTATTTTGACCCATCACTTTTCCCTAAGTCTTTTACATTCCTGGGATCACCGTGAGAAATTTGTGCTAAGTACAGCAAACCTCTGTATGCTTTCAGATCAGCTAATGAAGTGTCATAATAAAGGCATTTTTGAATATGGCTGTTGGTGCATACAGAACATTTTACTTGCATTTCAGGCTTTGTATATTTCACAGCATCTTGTAACATTTTATCTGTTAACAATTTCCAATGTTGAATTACAGTGCCACCATTCTGTGCGTTTCACACCTGCCAGGATTCTCACTATATTTTCAGACCTAGTTCTAACATTGGAACATTCCATTTGGTTGTGTGACTATTTCAAGACATTTCTACTAGTCAAATATGTACTCTCATTGCTGTTCTCTTCGTCATCTGAATCACGGAGGTCTGCATTCCCTGTGTCTGTGTCAGTAGATTCTTGCTCCATTTCACTGTCACAGGAACTTTGGCTCACGTGGCCAGTGTCAGAGCCATCACCATCACCATCACATTGTCATTGTCATCATACGCCCATACTGTTCTTCTGTTAGGAAAGCATGTATTTTACCATAGTGGATCATCTTCATCATCCATGCATAATATGCTGATAATTCACTTTTGATCTCCTCCAAAACTTGCAAATCTGGTTTTTCATGTACCATTGTACTGAATTGGGCTCCTTACACCAGAAAAATCAAAAGAAAACTTTTTTTTTTAAGTCCTGGTGTGGGCCTTTGGGCCTCTGTGAAGCTCTGGTAAACATACACAACATTCGTTAGACAGAGCAAAAAAGTGGGTCCAAATCCTGTTTTGATACTTTTGCACACATGTAAAACACATAGATTGCTTCCTGTATCCCTCATGGAAAGGTACTGAGAGGCTCATCAGGCTCCTGTTACCCTAAAGTATAAATTTACAGTAGAAAACTAACGGATGGATGCATTGAACCCAGTGTTATGCTCTAACTAAACTGTTTCTATCTTTTAACTGTTGTGGCAATTCATACTGTGAATACTAGTGTGCTGTATCTGCATCTGTGTCCTTTTTTCAGTTCTTTTGGATGTATATCTGGAAGTGGAATTGCTGGATCATATATGATAATTGTATGTTTAATGTTTTGAGAAGTCAGTGACTACATAATTTTAAATTTCTACTGGCAGTGTATGAGTGTTACATTTCTTTGTTGGAAAATATGTTTCTTTTTCTTTTTTTTTTTTACATGGTGGTCAATCTAAAAGGTATGAAGTAGTGTAGGTGCTGGAACTTTCTTTGTAGCTCAGGCTGGCCTCAAATTTGAGATTTTCCTGCCTCAACCTCCTGAGTGCTTGGGTCACAGATGTGTGCCACTGTGCCCAATTTAAGCTTTTAGTCTTTTACTATTGATACGTTGTTAGCCTTGATCCTATTTAAAAATATTTCCTTTTATTCCTAGTTGGAATGTTTTATCATGAAAAGGTGTTGGACTATATCACATATTCTTAGTGTATCAATAGAGATGATCATGTAGGGTTTTTCCCTCATTCTCTTAATGTAGTATATCACATCAAATGATTTTCATTAAGTTGTTCTTTTGCTTCAGAAATGTGTTACTTGGTCATGGTGTATAATCCTTTAAAAATGCTAATTTTTGTTGAGTCTTTTTTCCCCCACTGAAACTTTTTATGATTTATTTTCTTACGGTACTGGGGATGGAACCCAGAGCCTTGTACATGGTAGGCAAGTGCTTTACCTAGCTTCACTGAGCTGTGTGCATAGTCCCACTCATATTCTTAAGGGATATTTGTCCAGTTTTGTTGAAGTGTCTTTGTCAGATTTGATACCATGGTAATCACGACTTTGCAAAATGAGCTAGAAAATGTTCCTTCTGTGTAATTTTTTGAAAGCATTTGGCTAAAAAGGATTGGTGTTAATTCTGAGTTTTGTAGAACCCACCAGTGAAGCCACTGAACTTTTCTTTGTTGTTTTTTCATTGCTGACTTAGTTTCTTTACTGTAGTAATAATTCTATTCATATTTTACATTTCTTCATGAGTCAGTTTATGATGCATGGTCCTAGGAGTTTGTCCACGTTATCTGATTTGTTGATACGCAGTTTTTGATAGGCTTGTGCTACCATCCTTTTTATTTTATAACATCAGTGATAGTATTACCATATTAATTTGTGACTTCAGTAATTTCAGACTGCTATTTTTTTGTCTACCTAGAGTTTTATCAATGTTGTTGACTTTCTTAAAGAGTCAGCTTTTTGGGGCTGGGGATTTAGCTCAGCGGCAAAAGCGCCTGCCTGGCAAGCGCAAGGTCGTGAGTTCGGTTCCGGTACCGGAGAAAAACAAAAAAAAAAAAAAAAAAAAAAAAAGAGTCAGCTTTTGATTTTGTTCATTTTCTCTATTATTTTTCTATTGTCTATGTCCATGTTAATCTTTGTTATTTCGGTCATTCTTTTAGCTTTAGGTTTAGTTTGGTTTTCTTTTTCTACTTCCTTAAGGTGTACAATTACTTATTGATTGGAGAGCTTTCTTATTTTTTAATGTGTTTACAATGATAAATTTCCCTTTTAGCACTGCTTTCACTGCATTTTGTTAAGTTTTTGTGTTGTGCTTTATTTTCATTTGCCCTAAGATACTTTCTAATTTTCTTTTCCTCATGGTATTTTTCTTTAACCCATTGGTTGTTTAGGGTTTTGTTGTCTAATTTTCACATATTTTTCAATTTCCTGGTTTTTCCTGTACTGTTGATCTAGTTTCATTCACTTATTAACAGAAAACATACGTGGTATAACTTCAGCGTCTTTAAATGCATTAGCACTTGTTTGGAGCCCTAACATGTGCATCTGCTTTGGAAAGTGTTCCATATGCACTTGGAACTTTTGACATGTTATATTAGAGAATATATGTAGATGGAGATATGAGATACTCATTTTAGAGAATATCGAAGGAAAGAAGTTGGCCAGTGAGCCATAAAGAAGGATTGAGGTCACTAGAATGGGTACTTTTTTTAAAGAACAGAATTTAGGGCAACAGCTAGGTGGGGTGGCACATGTTTGTAATTTCAGCATTTGGGGGTGCTGAGGCAGGAGGGTCACTGTAAGCTCAAGGCCTGCCCGGGTTACATAGTGAGTTCAAGGCCAGCCTGAACCACATAGGGAGATCCTGTCTCAGAAAACAAAACAACACAAAACAAAACAAAAAAACTGCAAAGCACAACCAACAAAAAAGCCAATTTAGAACAATAGACCAGCCATAGGTTTATTCTGACTCGAGGGGCTAAATTCTAAACATTGCTTGGTATATTAGAAAAGGATGGAACAATTTGACATGTGCTGTGTGGCAAGTCAGTATAGTATTTAGACATTGAAAAATACCCAAAGGAGGATATGATCAGCTTATTCAGTGCTGAGTTCAAGTATTTGGGAATGACTGTTTCTTATACAGTGTATTCCTGTATTAATTCAACAGGGAAGATGGACAAGATTTTTTTCAGGGGGGGATTTGAGAAATATTTAAGTGATGGCAACTAGCATTGTGAAATTAAAACCCAAAATACCTGTATACATTGTGCATTCTTTATAGTGTGTGTCTACCTGTTATTTTCTTACTAGTAAAATCTGAAGAAGAAACTTCATGTATTATCTTTTTGTTGTATTTGAATTCTGTAGAAGTTGTTTCTGGACAGTCTCCGAAAAGCACTTGCTGGCCATGGAGGAAGTAGGCAGCTGACAGAAAGTGCTGCAATTGCTTGTGTCAAATTGTGTAAAGCTAGTACTTACATCAACTGGGAAGATAACTCCGTGATTTTCCTGTTAGTTCAGTCCATGGTGGTTGATCTTAAGGTAAAATGCTTCTTGTTTCTCTACTCCAGATTTTAAGAAAATTAAGTGAAGAATAAACTTCTAGTATAAGCATTATGTCAAAGATTATTGCTAATATTAATATTCTGAGTCATTTTTTGATAATGAGGCAATAGACTGGTTTTTGTTGTTATGTTCATCAATCTAGACTGGGAATATGAAGAATGATACAGGTTTAACCAGTTTTCATAAGCTAGCATAAATACACAGACATACATTTCAAATAATGTAGGAATGAGACACTGGAAGGAGCTATATGTGGTACAGTAAGACGTCAGATCATTGAACTACAATGTTAGTATTTGTGCTTTTTCTGATAACTGAATATTACATACTGACATCTATCTGGATAATGTTGCTGTTATTACATACTAATAAAGTACTGCATGACCATTTAAAGGCCTTTGTTTTTTATTGGGGTTTTTACAGAACCTACTTTTTAATCCAACTAAACCATTCTCAAGAGGTAGTCAGCCTGCGGATGTGGATCTAATGATTGATTGCCTTGTTTCTTGCTTTCGTATAAGCCCTCAGAACAACCAACACTTTAAGGTGAGAGCATTGATTTTTATTCAGCTGTGTTTATTGATGCTGTTATCCTACAAATGTGAAAAGACTAGAAAGATGAGTAAGTATATCTTTATCGTATTTCTTAACACTGTATATTGATGCTAATTTTGAGATCTTAAAAATGTGTTCTGTTTTTAGCCCGGTGTAGTTGTGCATACCTGTAATTCCAGCCACTCAGGAGGCTGAGGCAGGAAGGACAGAGAATTTGAGGCTCACCTCAGCAACATACCAATGTTGCATCTCAAATGAGGAAAAAAAATTGTATTTTAAAAAGTTTCTTTTGCTGTTCTTTTTATCTTCGGTTTGTTACTATTTTTCTCATAGAAACAATTTACTGTTCTTTCCTCTGTAGATCTGCTTGGCTCAGAATTCACCATCTACATTTCATTATGTGCTGGTAAATTCACTCCATCGAATCATCACCAATGTAAGTCCAAAAGGTATTGCTAAATTATTAAAAGAAAAACTCCGCGGGGGAGGGCTGGTGTACATTTGTTCCCCTCTTAAAACAAACACTCTTGGTTTTCACGAACATTTTTAGCTTAGATAGTATGGTATAGGAAGGTTTCTCTAAGGTGATTGTATCTTGTATCAACACAGTTATATTTTTCATGCTCAATCTTGACCTGAGGAAGATGGAGTTAATAGGCTCTTTTGGAAAGAAAAGAACATATGTAAAGCATTTTTATTTGGATTGAAAGCCTGAGAAGAATGCCACTGAAAATATAATTTAACATTTTCATCTGAAAGTTAATCCCATTCGAACACTCTTAGCCCCTCCTACCACTTGATACATTCTGGCTTATCACCTTATAGTTTAAATTAAAAGTAATAGGATTTATGTTGTAGCCCATTATGGCATATTTACAAAATGGTGAGACTGTATTTGATTGTCCTTTTCAGGCCTCCTTAAACAAAATGAAATATTAGCACACTTCAAAAGAGGTATTTTCAAAATACAGAAGCTTATCAGACAACATAGAAACTCATTAATATGTATTTCTATTGTAGATAGTGAGAACTTTTTAGGTTTGGACTATAGATTTTAATAAGCCTGTTTATCTAATTAGGGACAATTATACTAAGAATCTCAGGTGTCATTTTCCATAGTTTCACTTCTCTCTATTGTTACTTACGCTTACGTTTATATTTTGTCATCTTCCTGTTTTCCTTCCTTAAGAAGGGTTTAGTCATTGATAACATTAGATATGTCCTATTTATAATCACATTCCATTTTAGGGCTCTTGCTCTGGTGAGGCTAAAGCAAGTCATTTGATATATTGCATGAAACTAAATGCTGCCTGTATTTTCTTTTAGACATTCAGAGAGGAGAAAACAACTATTGATAAAGCTTTTTAATGTCATACTTATTTTTTCTTGATACAGTAGTAGTAGCAGCATTTTGAGAAGAAATTAGTTATTATACAGGATCTCTGTGTGCATTGCAGGCATTTAGCATCTCTGACCCTCATTTTATTAGATGTCTGTTGTATCCATTTCCCCCCACCCCCACCCCCACCTCACACATTACAAAGGCCCAGGGGAATATGCCTTCCTCAGTTCAGTATCATTGAGTTGAATTATGGGTAGAAGTAACATGGAATACTTTTTGTTACAAAAGGGAAAGTTTAGTGAATCTGATTATAGATAAGGTATGTTTGTGTTAAAAACTTCAAAAAATTACTATACTGTACTTTTGTCAGTGTAATGTTCGAGACATTCTACTCGCAAGGTTTATTTTCAAGACCATTACAAAAGACCTTTTTATTTCAAGACCATTAAAAATTTGTCGGGGGCTGGGGATTTAGCTCAGCGGCAAAAGCGCCTGCCTGGCAAGCGCAAGGTCGTGAGTTCGGTTCCCGGTACCGGAGAAAAACCAAAAA